GAAGAAGTCTCTTGGAGGAGAGACAAAACGTTTCAGTAGAGAAGAACCCGTCCAGAAGACCTATACATTTTTTTTTTTTTTTTTTTTTTTTAAGTCTTGAATGTTGAACTCTCCCACATTCCAACTAGGAATACCCACTCATAATCGACATGTATTATGGGAGATGTAGTTTATGATCAATGCTGGCTTTAAAGAAGCTMATTTTGAGACATTAATACAGGGATTCAACTAAATTGCTCAGGGGTCCACAGTTACTCAAACACAAGAGCTATGGGGCCGGACAAGTTTTGTTATTTTTCAACCTTTTTATTTGCTTATTTTGCTGAATTGAATCAAATTAAAGCTTACAATTTATATTAAAACCATGGTTCTCGACAGGAAAAAGGGTAGAATGCCCTCTCTGGGACGGGGGGAGAGTCTCTGCTTCAAGTGGGGGAGTTTAAGTATCTGGGTGTCTTTGTTCAGGAGTGATGGTAGATGGAGTGGGAGATGGTTGGACGAATTGGGGCCTCGTCCTCAGTATTGAGGGCGTTGCTTCGGTCGGTCGTGGTGACGAAAGATCTGAGTCGAAAAGCAAAGCTCTGGATTTAYTGGTCTGTCTTCGTTCCAGCTCTCACCTGTGGTCAAGAGGCGTGGATCATGACCGAAAGAACAAGATCCCGGATACAAGTGGYTGAAATGAGCTTTCTTCGTAGGGTGGCTGGACTCAGCCTTAGAGAGAGGGTGAGGAGCTTCGTCATTCATGGGGAGCTTGGAGTGGAGTCGCTGCTCCTCCACATCGAAAGGAGTCAGTTGAGGTGGTTCATCTGACTAGGATGCCTCCTGGACACCTCCCTTTAGAGGTGTTCCGGGCACGTCCCACTGGTAGGAGGCCCCGGGGAAGACCCAGGACTCGCYGGAGGGACTATGTATCCTCTCTGGCCTTGGGAACACCTCAGGGTTCCCCAGGATGAGCTGGAAAGTGTCGCTGGGGAGAGGGATGTCTGGGTTTCTCTCCTGGACCTGCTTCCTCCACGACCTGACTATGGATAAGCAGAAGAAGATGGAGAACTTATATTAAATTTAGTACAAAACAAGAAAACATTTTTGGGTGGTGGGGCCTCTTTGTCAGGCCAGACGAAAGTCATCCCCAGGCCATGTTTTTGTGTGGGCCTTGAGTTTGACATGAGGTCTAAGTGGTYAAGACCTGTCAATAAAAACAGTTCTTAGTGATCAGTTTGCATTTGCATGATGCTTTCCCTTCAAATCTGTTTTTTTTTTTTTCAACTTTTGTTACTTGAAAACAACCATAACTAGCCAACTGGTGTTTCTCTGTGATAAAAACGATGCTGGATTAGATTGAGACAACATTTTAACTCCACAGAAATAATGCTATGGGTTGTCATTAACAGGGACAGAAAGATTTGTTTAATAGGATTAACATATTTGCATTTTTAATTATTTATGGTGCAGACAGACAAAGCACCTGGTTTGGGATGATAAAGAAGAAATGACAGTTAGGGCCTGATTACAAGAAAAGAAAACAAGATTTGTAGAGGAAAACTAAATAACATGTAAAAATCAAAGAGGAGTAAATTATTGCAAACATTTGGAAATGAAGCCGCATTTAAATTAAACTGATAGAGCACAGTTTTCACTGCAATTATGACTGAAAATTAGACTGAAGTTGTATATTTAAAGTAGTAACGGTAGAAAAAAAAGTCTTTCCCAAGTACAATGTATTTTTGTTGATACTGGTTCTGCACCACTGCACGAACGTGGTCACCACTGCTTTCCAGCTGCTGGTCAGCCTCAAACATGTAGGACAGGTTTTGGATCCAGCTGCTCGTTTGCTTTAGTTTGCACAGATCACCATCCTATTAAAGAAAATTATACATCCCAGCTG